GAGTTGGCTCGACAAGCAGCGGAAGGCGGGAATCAACCTGCACTAAAATCCCATCCTTATGCTTTATTTGATGCATCTGTTTCATTGCAGGTATCCCTCTTAACTGTTCATAGTTTTTGAATGGCCCATATCAAGATAATTGATTATTTATACAAACTATAATGTTTGACACAACTTTTCTTAAAATTAAAGGGTCCTCTTCATAAAGTTTACCACGGGAAGGAACAAGATTATGAGTTGAAGGTTGCCGAATGTGAAAGGCGAGCCATCGGTTTTCTTTACAAGGCAATAAGCAAAGATTCGATTCTTGTTATGTATAGAAAGATAGAGGACAAATCAAATTTTTGTTGGTTTGTATGGATTGTAACATTTCCATGGTTTGCATTTGATTTGTTTTATAGGTTATATGTATTTTTGCTTTCATATTCAATGACACATGACATTTTTTGGCACTTAACGAATCATTTTTGGTATGGCATTCATAGGCATTTGACATAACCTAAAATCCTTGCCATGGCTAAGTTTAGTTGTTGTTTTGGGAAGGTAGCTTCCTAATAGTTGATGATCATAAAGGTATTGAAATTTATATATAATTCATCTTCACGTAGCGATTCTTCAACTCTTTTTCCACTTACATAATAATAATAGCTTGTGTGATGCTAATAATTTTTTTTGAAATTTTCAGCAAACAATCGGGGGAACCACCTTGATGTCAGTAGAGGTAAGTAAGGGGCTGTTCGGTAAGGGCTGTTTGAGCCATATAACAGATATGGCTGATTCACACAGCCATATCTTTGCGTTCGGTAAGGGCTTAATCACCGTGGCTGAGCTGCCAACTAAACTTTACTGTTTGATGTTTTGTCCTTGGTTTTTCTATTTATGTTTTTGAGGTTTTGAGTGGTTCAGGTATTATCATTGTTTGCAGGTCATGGATTATCGAGTAGTGGAAATGTCGGGTTTACAGGTCACGGATTATCGTTGTTTACTTCACATCAATTATTTTTCGAGTTTGCACACAGGTTTTTTCATGCTTAGAGTTGGCATGATTTTTAGGTTTTTATGGTTCGCCCCTTCTAATTGTCTTATTTTTTTCATGCTTAGAGCTGGCAAGAGATTCACTTGACTCGAAGGGTTCTGGGTAACATCGTTTTTTTGTGATTTTTGATTAGTTGATTATATAGCCACATAATTTGTTCTTCTTGAATATTATATTCATAACATTCCTATGATACCATCAAGAATCAGAGAAAGAAAGGCCTCTATATGTTTTTCAGATTCTTAATCATACACCCACACAATTTTGTGTAAGTTTCTAAAGTTATTGATATCAAGTATGCTTCTTTTCTTGCCTTTTTCATTGAAAAACTGAAACTTTAATGTCCTGTTCATAACAGTTTTTATGATACTATCAGGGGTCAGAGAAAGAACAACATCGACCTAGCTCACCTCTAGGTGAGATTGTGGTTGATCATGAGTACCTGGTTCCTAAATCTCCTATTTCGTTTGATTCTACAACTTGTAAGTCATCTATCTATTGCCACCCCCTAAATTCCATTCGGGTCTTCTTGGATCTCATAATCTTGAGACAAACAATTTGAATGACTATGAACATGAAGATGATGATTATGAAATTGATGATGAGAGTGTGGGGTCTGGTTTAGATGATATGGACCGCACTAATTCTGGGGGAGAAGGGTTTGATGAAGAAATATATATTGTTAATCCAGTTAGACTACCTGGACCAATTGGACCCAACAGGTCTGCTTTGAATAGAGGCTTCCTAAAAGAGAATCTTTGTGTTGAAGTTCCTCAAAAGAACAGAAAACTTACTGGGATTAGTGGGTTTGATGGGGCCGGCACACAGCCAAGTTCAGTTTCAGCTGCCAGTCGCCTGCGTGATATGTTGCAACCTYGTAGTGCCTACGTAAGTTTAAATCTCATTGATGTCATATGGTTTATAAAAGTTCATTTCAATTGACGATAGTGATGAATGTAGGGTAACCCGATAGCTGATTTGGGAACTCCAAGTGCACCTCTGATTTATGAAGGAGGAGTAGAGCCCATTCCTGAGATTCAAGGTAAATCAAGTAAAGAATCTTCAAGGTTTTCAGGAGTTAAAGTAATTACTTTCATGAATCTGTAGGCAGCTTGACTCTTCAGTAGAAATTTGAACTTGGTTAGTTGATTATGAGACGATATTCTTCTTGTTGATATCTTGGTTAGTTGAACTTGGTTAGTTGATTACGAGACGAAATTTTGGGCATTCTTAATTTTATTGAATTCTTTTCTGGGTGTTCTTAATTTTGTTGAATTCTTTTTTGGGTTACCTTTCATCGCCCAAGGACATTGAAGACAGATAGGAACCCCAAGTATCCCCACATCAGTGCCCCACCAAGAAACAAATTGGACCACTAGCAAATTCTTAAGTACCCATAGACCACAGAATCTGCAATGAAGAATATTGAAGGCAATAACACACTTGTTTTCATCGTTGACATCCGTGCTGACAAGAAGAAGATCAAAGCTGCAGTGAAGAAGATGTATGACATCCAGACCAAGAAAGTTAACACATTGATCAGGTATTTTCATCAATTCTCTTTATGTAATCACTCACTATTAATATTATGATTTTGAATTGGAATTGAGTTAGAAATGTGAATAAAGTAATAGACTTTTAACTAGAATCATATAACTTGAGATTATGCATCTATTTATTTTATACTTTTGCATTTTGTCAAGTCTATTTGTTCCTGTTTGCACTGTATCTTGGTTTTGTTTTCTATTACTCTCTTGAGTTCATGGCTCCTGTCCTATACTAGACCATRTTCTTGTTGTGTTTGGTCTACTGTTTTCATGCAGTATATGAGGTGGACTACTAAACTACTTGGGYTTACCTGGCTTAAGTCTTGTCTCATACTCAGTCTGAGGTTTATCCTTTTGGTTTGGTTCATTTCATATGGATTAAAACTTTGGTTATGTCCTTGTTTTTTTGGTTTGACAGCATGGACTTTTGTAAACTGCTGTGCTATTTTGCTGTTTGGGGTTTATAAGGATGATCTAAATAGTGTGCCTCATGTAAAGAAATTGGCTGTCATCATAGTAGTTGAAGACAGCAGAATTAAATGGAGAAAACTGCTGTTTTGGAAGGCTGTTGATAATTGTATGTTCATTGACCTCAAAGTTGTAATCTGGTGGAAAAGAATGAGAATTGATGGGTTTACAATATGGATCTACATCTGGGCCAAAAATGGTATTTTGATTTGATTAAGAGGTATTGGGCCCATAATCTATTATGGTGGACTCCTAAAGATTTAATCTCTTGGGCCTATTATATTTTGAGGACTGGGCTGTTAAGATTATATTCCACTACCTGGGCCGAATACTAATCCCTTCTGCTAATGGACACTTGGACAGTCTTGCATCCTCAACTTGGGCTTCCTGTTGTATGATTTGGGCTTCAAGAAGATATATTGGACTTATGATGAGTACCGAATAATCACCTTCAGGTGGATGGGCTTATGGCATTTTAAATGTTGGGTTTTTTTCTCTAATTTGAGATACTTGAATAGGCCTTTATTAGTTGTTTTTCCAAAACACTTTTTAGACTCCCTTGAAATTTCTCATCTTTTATTAATAAATTTTTTCTGGGGTTCTCCAAAAAAAATGAGCACTTTGTTTATGTTTGTCCAAATGCAATGCAGACCTGATGGAACGAAGAAAGCTTATGATGTTTCAGTCAGGTGGGTGTTGTCATTTTGACCCTATCATTAGTTTTGTTGTCTTGAATAACATTCTGAATTTCTTTTTGTGTTTGGTTTGAGTTACGRATTCAAATATACTTCAATAGTTTGAGCTRTTTTGTTTACCATGGCTTTTGTTCTTRGTAACTCTTTATTGATGTGATCCTTCTCTTGTTTTGATTTTTGGATAGAGAAGGCATTTCAAAACCTTTGATCTGTTTCTTGAATCGTCTTCTACCATTAGATTTTAGTTTAAGTTCAAAAAGAAGTTCGAATTATAATAATCTTGTAAGATCATATTTATGGTTTTATTCTTCATGTACTTCTTGTCAAGGCAAGTACTCACACACCCATAGTTGGTAGGGCTTGATTGATGCATGAAATTGGGTGGTCTCATTTTCAAAATTGCTTTTTTATTCTTCTGTTGACAACGTGGCATGATATTAATATAAAAGTGAACCAAATACGTGTAACTTGATCACATGTTTAGATTCTTTAATACCAAATATATTTTCTTCATGATGATATCAGTTCCATCTCATTGGCCTGCTTTTTTTTTTTACCTAATTATCTATGTCTATACTACTTTATAAACCAAATTTGGGAAAAGCCTTGAAAACACCATTGAATGCATAAGGTACTACTTTTTATGCACAAAGTCTTAATCTATATCTATATCTATATCTGTACTACCTTATAAATCAGATTTATCAAAAGTCTTAAAAATAATTTTTAATGCACAAAGTACTATACATTTATGCACGAATTCTTAAATGTCTTAAAAACAACTCATAAATGCATTAAGTACTACTACGTTATGTATTCAGTCTTAAAATGTCTTAATATACAATTAAAATAACATATTGTATAACTTACCAATGCACATTTTTATCTTTTCATTCTATATTCTCAAGATACTTTTAACACATTTCACTAATGCTTTCACTCTCTCATACTTCTATGTCTTCTCCTCATCTTCCAAGGTGAGATTCAAACTGATATTCGCCATAAGTTATTAAAAGTTCTCTCATTCATCTCTCATTCAATTGCTTTAAAACTCTTGATCTCACTCTCTTGATTCTTTGCTCTTGGTGTAAATCGAACACATTTGTGGAGTCGTTTAAATATGTTGAAWTTTAAATATATTGGATTTTAAACTGTCATACAATTTTTTTTTATGGATAGACTGTAATTGGAACCATAACTCTTATTTATTTAAATTGTATTAATATGTAAGGACC